AGAGTAAAGTACGTTTCCCCTCTTCTTTTACTAACATCTAAACACTTTAAAACAATATATAAATATTGTGACAGGCTACTCATAAAGATAGAAGTTGACAAGATCATTAATATATATTCACCAGAAGTTTTTTTCTTCTAATCCAGATTTGAGAAAGATTTCAATTACTAGCATTTAATTGTGACTCAATTTACAAACTTATGTCTGTCAAAGGTATAAAATTATGACCTCAATAAATTGCACAAAATATTAACAGACAAAGTCCCATCTAAATTGCTTTTCAAGCACAAATAGACTGATAAATTCAAGAGGACAAAAGATAGTTCACAACTTCCAAATTTGAGGTTACTTTTATTCCATACCAAACCAATGGCTACCCCACTAAGATATTAATTTCATCAGAACAATTAATGAGCACAATCAATAATGGTTGCCAGGAATGAAGAAGGATAGGTTAAGGAACAAAGTTCAGCCTAGATGATAGTGTTTATTTTATCACCTTGGTAGCATCTCTGAAACCCAGTGCACTTGACCTAAATATAATCTGAAGTTGGATGTGGTGGTGCACCCCTGTAATCCCCATCTACTCAGGAAGCTGAGACAGGATTCTGAGTTCCAGGATAGCCTGGGCAACTTAGCAAAACACTGTCTCAAAACAAACAAAAAAAGACTATTAGCCGTGCAATTTATTCATAGCAACTTTTCCTCTAATCTTTTAAATCTCATCATTCCAATTACATTACCAGTTCCTTAAGGGTAACTGTTTATTCTCCAGATTAATTTTTATTTTAGAAAGGGAAGGTATAAAATCAAAATAAAATTAGGTATCACTTCATACTCATTAGAATGGCTGTTACCAAAAAACAACAACAAAAAAACCCAAATGTTGGTGAGGATGTGCAGAAACAGGAACCTTTATATACTGCTGCTTGGAAATATAAAATGGTATGGCCGCTAGGGAAAGTTCCTCAAAAAATTAAAAGCAGAATTACGTTATGATCTAGCAATTCCACTTCTGAGTATACAACCAAAGAAAAGTGAAGCAGTGTCAAAGAGGTATTTGTATTTATACAACTATGTGCAAAGCAGCATTATACACAACGGTTAAAATGTGGAAGAAAACCAAGTAACCACTGATGGATGAATGAATAAACAAAATGCGGGATGTACAAACAATGGAATACTATTTAGACTTAAGGAAATTCTGATATATGATACAACTTGGACGAACCTGTGGATATTGTAAGTGAAATAAGACAGCCACAAAAAAGACAGCTTTCTAATCTCATCAAGTAAATGTTATGATTCTTCTAGTATTAGTTCTGCCACAAGTATCGTTCACCAGCTCCACCTTTAATACTGTTATTGCAACTATACTGTACTGCTCTCAGTGTCAGTCACTGCTCATATTTTAGACTAATGCGTACTCTGTATCAAGATATTCTTTTCACACATGGTTCACTCTCAAATAAGCTTTAATATATTAAGGGATAAAACTATAAACCCCCAAATCTGACAAATGACCAGGATGAGACTTGAAGAATGATTTAGGTATAAAACACTGCTCACTGAGGTTTTACATCAATAGAGTAAAGCACAGAACACACTGCTTGTGCACTGAACATGTTGCTGTGGATACTAATCTCAGAGAACCCCTGCTAAAACACTCTGGGTGAGGATCTATTCCATACTTCAACTAACCACCCATCAAAGTCAAATACTTCCTTTCAGAAGAGTAACTCCAAACTTCATTCAAAATAAATTAATTCATTTGACTTCTAGTGAATTTTCTTCAGTCTTCCCAGCACAGTTCAGGACATCAAGATGTCAAATGTCCAGTGTCTCTCACACCTACTCAGTCTACATGACACATACAGACACAGCTATACCTAATACTCACTACATGACCCTAAACAAATCACATCCTTTTTCTGGGTCCTGTTTTATTTTTTTTGTTTTGTTTTTTGAGGGTCTTGATTTGTAGTTCAGGCTGGCCCTGAACTTACTATGTAGCCCAGGCTGGCCTGGAACTTGTGACAATACTCCTGCCTCGGCCTCCCAAGTGCTGGGATTACAGGCATACACCACCATGCCCAGCTTGGGTCTTGGTTTATTTGTAAAAAGAGATTTAGGATCTAAGGGTTTCTAAGCTCCAACATTCTGTGATTCTGTTTGACAAAACTTAAAGTTCCATCTTTGATCCTACAACCTCAGTTTTAGAAACAGCAGTAACTAGTTCACACACAATTTTTAACATTTATTTTACAATTCTAACACGTTCCCACCAGCTTGAACCACAAGTGGTACATGTATGACTGTCCAATAGGGTAGCTTTTACTGCTAGTAGTACAAACAGATCTATTCACTTTTATTGGTCTTTTTACTAATAAAATTAATAAAAAGCTGCCTGACAAAGTACAATACTGTTTTAATTATTTTTATACCACCAGACATTTGTGAAAATTGGAATTAAAAAAAATTACCAACCACTAAATGTGTTGCTTCAGAGACAATGCACAAATGAAGGGTAAAAAAGCTACCATCAGAGAAAGCAGACGTTAAGGACAAAGCAAATATCAGCATGGAGAAAACTTCATTTTGATATAACATAAAGACCACTAGCTTACTATAAAGTTATGAACATGCTTTGTAATCAATACTAATCCTCCTTTAACACTATCTCCTAACAATGTAACATTTAAAAAAATCTACACATGTTAACCATTCTTTGTTTTAAGTTCAAGAATTCATTTCTGGGGAGAAAAATGGATAACCAAGATGTTTATAAAACAATACCATTAACAGGAAACCTTATAGGGAATTTCCAATTCACTGCAGCACTGGTTCAAAATGTTGTACATTTTTTTTTTT